GGGATCGCAACCCTCAGTGTTGCACCTGCACCGGACCGGGACCGGCAACGGGATCGCAACCCTCGGTGTTGCCCCCGCTCCTCGCTCAGCCAGTGAGCGGGAACCGGTCTGTATGTGGGATCCAAACCCTCAGGCGGGAGCGCCGCTGCGCTTCCCAAGCGGCGCACTTATCCAGTGCGCCACCGGGCCGGCCCGTAGCTCAGGTTTTAATGGTTGACCTTATAGGTACTGGGTCTCATGAGATCTGGTACACTTGGGTTGTGTAGAAACTCTGGTTTGGGCCTGAGTCTTTTCAGCAAACTGCACCCCCTACAGTTCTGTATTACTGACCAGTCTACACTGAGTGGTCCTGTGCTGATTGGGTGCAGATCAGCTGTCCTTGCTGTGCCCCAGTGTTCTCCCGGTAGGCCTGTCTCTCCTACTGCCTGTGTTCCAAACACTTCATTTGATGGGTTGTGCACTGGTCTCTTGCGATGACTCATGGGCCTCGGGTTCCTTTTTTCAGTTGTTGTGAGTCCATAGGAACTCTGTTAGTAGTCTTGATGGCCTGGGAGCCACCAAGGCCCTCTTCTCCCCTGCTGCCTAGCTTGGCTGTCATTGCCTTTTAGTAGTTGTAAATTGGTTGATTTGTGGGAGAGAGTGACACTGGGGACCATCTATTCCTGGTTTATATTTCTTAAAGCAAATTCTGCATGTTTAATTTTTTAAACATTCTTTAAGATAAGCTTTTATTTAAACAAAACATTCTATAGCAGTTACCTCAGAATGAATTCCAGTTTCTTTTCTTTTGAGATTTCACTCGTTCATGCTAAGAACTTTGTCATGTCAGCCAGCTGTTATATAGCCTCAGTTTGGTGGGTTTTCATTTTAGACCTCACAGTAATATTGATGAACAGAATCATGTTTTTATTTAAAAGTTAATATTAGATTTGGTAGAGGAGCAGGTTAAATAAGTGGAGCCACGTTCAGGAAGAGTTTATCCTGCTCCTCTTATAAATACTGGTGTTAGACCATACTGACGACTGAACCACAAGAAGATGCAGAGCATGAAAATAGAAAATTACATTTGAGCTAAAAGCAAGCTATAGGCTCTAGGATCGAGCATGTACAAGAGTTCAGTTCCTGATAGAGAAGAGGTCCATGTTCTGGAATGAACTTAATGAGCTTTGATTTCAGTAGAGCAGGATTGAAGCTCCTAACTCTACCACTTAGTTGTGTAAGTTTGGGCAAGTTCAGCCTTGTGGAGCAATCATACATGTCTCACATTGTAAATAAGGATTAAATGAAGTAATTTATCAAGTATTTGGCATACAGTATGTCAGTAGCAAGGAAATCTTTCACTATAATAAAAATAACCATCAAACTTTGTCTTTTACAGTGATTCAGAGGTGTTAGAAGTGGCTGCAAATAAAACACCCTTATTCCTGTTAATTCATTTTTCCTCTTGTGTGGAGAAAAATGACATGTAAATACATTCTGATCTTGAAAATTTCTCATTTCCTTTTCAAAATCTTTTCAAGGTAAATTAAACTGAGATGACAGATTTTATAAGTTAATCAAAACTCAGTAATAAATGATCATGCTTCTTATTAACCAGAAAGAACATAACAGGAGTAGTGTGCCAAGAACAAAGGGTTTAGAGATTGATTTTGTATTGCCTAAAGAAGTAGTACGAGAAAAATAGACTTTAATAAAACATTTAAAAATGAATCACTTGGGGGTGGGGGAGGGCTATAGTCTTTTATCTATATTAAAAAATAACTAAACTGCTTCAAGAAATATATATATTTTTTTAATTCCTAAGATGACTAAGCAGTATTAGGAAAAAAAATCAGCTAGAGAAATAAAATGTGAACTCTATTCAAAACTCATGTAGCATTAAGATGTATAATACAGCTGAAAATACTTTTTTGTAAGAGGACACTGACAAACT